AAGATAACAGGGAACTCCTGCCCAAAGTTAAAATTTTTTCTGCTAATTCTTACCAGTCTGAAAGCTATGAAAATCTATGAATAAAATATGGGACATTAAAACAAAAATAAATAACTGTATAACACATCTTGATCCCTATGATCTATGTAATATGTTTTGCCTTAGCTCTTGTGACCTTAAGGTTTTCCTTTATAGAAAGTCATGTGCTGGCTTTGTACAACCTGGTCATCTATGGGAACATGTAACTACCAAACCATACAGAGTTCCACTCTTACCAATTTAACTAAATACATAAATTCATGATGCTCCATTCCTTCTTCTTGTCAGCAGCTTGCCTTTCTTGCTGTTTCAGTTAATAAGCATTTATTTTCTTACCATGTAATGGTCTTCATTGGATTAATTTTTTCTGTCAGTTAAAGAATTAAAAGACAGGAAAAAAATCTCTGGCACACCAGACAACAAACTTTATAAATGGTTAAGAAATGAGAGAGAGAGAGAGAGAGAGAGAGAGAGAGAGAGAGAGAGAGAGAGATCCCCACAAGTGAGCAGGGGATACAGGAAATGAAATCCATGTCCCCTGGGAGGGACTGGGTTTTTAACTGTTCATGGGGGCAGGCAGGTCCTCCTCCCTTCATTTCTGTTTGGTCAACTAAAACAGAGGGAGATGAATAGGCCCACAGCTTCATTCAAGCAAAGACATAACCAGGAAGATGTGATCCTGGACATGTTCTGGTACATCAGCTGGAATGGGAATCCTACCAAAGTTAAAAATAAAGCTCACAGAACTTCTATCTTGGAGGTAAATCAAGTCAGAACTTTGCTGTCTAGGGGTATATCTATGGCCTCTTGCCCTGTCTACCTGCAAGGGTGCTTATCTGGTTCACTATGACTTAAGCCTAGATGACTCTGGTATTGTGTAAACATTTCAAATGAAAGGCCTTGGAGTTCTGTAAAAATGAACACCTAGTCATAGGGTAAAGTATAAGTAATTGAAAGTTGCTTGCATTTTGTCATAAAATATGGAATAATTTATTATTAGATGATAGGAATTTAAAAGTTACCAAATTAAAGATCTCAATGAAGATCCTTTGGAGAGTTTCTATAAGCAGACAGTCTACAGAAAACAGGAGATAACAAAATGTTCTTGAAATAAATGTGTGCATTCATGAAGTAGACAGTTCATCCAATACTATCAAAACAGAATTCTTTTTTAAAATTTTATTTATTATTTTTTATTTTATGTGTATAAGTGTATTGCCTGCATATATGTGAGTGCACCTGTGTCATGCAATGCTGCGGAGGTCAGGAGAGGGCTTCGGATTCCCCTGGAAGTGGAGTTAAGGACAGTTTGTAGCCGCCATGTAGGTGCTGGGAATCACACCCAGGTCCTCTGCAAGAGCAGTCAGTGCTCTTAATCTCTGAGCCATCTCTCCAGCCCCAAAACAGAATTCTTTATATGACTGAATTCACATTTTAATCTGTTCTATTACTTTTCTTGGGCCTGTGAACAAACATGTAGATAGGACACTGAAAACGGAATAAAGAAACAACTCAAATCTACCTTGGTCAGCCATTGATGTAATTGGTTTTACATAGGAGCATGAGTGAGTAGTTAAAGGATTGTGGGAGACTTAGAAACAGATGCATCACCAAAAAGTCCCACCCATGGATTAACGATGGTCTCAGACAATCTTCATCTTAGAGTCCCACCTTGAGTTAATCTTCCAGCCCCTGTATGCTTCAGTGCCTACCAAGTCTATGTGCAGCTGAGAAGCCAGAGAAAGTGGTGGATGGAATCCTAGGTACTGGTCTGGTAATCCTTTCTGTCTTCCTTCTACTGTGTTGGCAACCCTATTACCAGTATAAGTGATAAGTACTTATCACGGTAGTGTTTTGTTTATTTCATTGCCATGACTACTGGGCCAAGGTTTTCTCTGCTTCATGATAGTCCAGGTGCTATGCCCTAAAGGAAAAATTATACTACAATCCAATACTCCCCCCCCCAAATTGTAACAGTAGTTTTCACTTCTATGTTATAATGTTACAAATTTCAAATTATTGTTTTTCCTCACGTTTTGGACCAGACTTTGAATTTCATGCCTCACACTGCTAAGCAAATGTTTAAAATGAGTTATATGCCTATCCCCATTCTTTGTTCTTTTAATAATAAAGTAACTTGCTTGGGTATAGTCTTCACCAGAGGCAGTAATCACACTAATGCTATAATTCTGCTCTAAATGCCTTTGCTACTATGATAATATAAAAATTCTTTGATATGTCATTCAATGCCACTGTTTGGAAACTCTAAATTAGTAAAACAACCCTAACTGGTATAGAAAAAGTGCATTTTCATCAGAGAATTTAGCCCTAAACTATTGGAAAGTAACTATTGATAAAAATTTAGGATACGGTTGTACATTTAGATTTATGCATAAAGTATGAGACAAAATGATTATATAGATTGTTATAACTCTCAAGTGAACCTGTTGATAGTATGTTGCAATTTTTGGTGGAATTAGAAATCAGATCATGGAAGAAATTTAGGCACTGAACTGATGGAGATTTTAAAAAATTACTTGAAACTCTTAAACTTTCAAGTGTAGGAAAAAGTGAAGGTGGTGACAGAGATGAAGATTACTCATTTGCCCAATGTCCTTCCTGTGACCAAAGTTCAGGCTCCTCAAAAGTTACCTGTTATGTTGCTCAATTCATACTACATCTGAAAAAAAATAAAATTAGGGAAAAACAGGTTTAAGTTTCAAAGAGTTAGGAATGGGGAGAGTGAGACACACACGTGTATATTTGTTTAGAACGAGTTGTGCTTTCCTTCCTCAGCAGCTTGCATAGATTCTTCCAAAACTTGGAGAGCTAGTCTTCAGGGAGGAGACTTTTAGGTCAGTTCAGGCTCCATTGCTCCAAGTATTTTGCCCAAAGTGTGTCATGTCTTAAGCAATAGGTTCTTATCTTCAACTTCTGGGAGATAATCAAGGGCTGTATCAATATCCTGTTATTTTGGGAGTCTCTTGGACTACCCTGACCAACAACTTGAAGGGAGGTTTCTAGTGTATGGCACTGTGTTTCTTGCTCTACACTGCACTCTGTACAGATATTGCGTGTGCATTTTTCAATGGGCTTTTGAACTAATATATTTCCCTACGATGTTTCACATCACCTAAGTATTATTAATCTCTGTTCTCTCTGTCTGGCTCTCTCTCCTCCCTCCCCACTTAAAGCACCCCCAGTTTCCCCATTTGGTTCCTTCCCTTCCCAGTTAAATACCCCCATTTTACCAATTTTACTGCTGGTAACACCTGTCTCCTACTATCTCTGTCCCTCAGGCTCTTTCTTCCCCTTTACCTCCATGGTTTCTTTCCATTTTCCCGTCTAATGCAGTTAAATCAGGAAATATACTCACATGTATGAATTTGGTGCTAAGATCCACAAATGAGGGAGAACATACATTGTTTCTTCCAGACATGACAGGGAAGCTACACGTACGATGTCTCAACAACATGGTTTCCTAAACAAGACCTGCGTCATGACAGTACCAGTTCACATACCAACATACTTGGGAGGAATTTTACAAGGTCCCACTTCCAGATGAAAATCTATAGACAAATAATTGCTGTTTAGAAAGAAAGAATATGTTTTTTCCAGGGATACGTTCTCTGGTGGATCATCCAAAGCAACGTGGTCAGCCCTAAACACATGCACTTATGAGCAACCTAAACAGATTTGTTTGGTATGTATGTGTTTGAGCACACACATGTAGCAATAATAATTAGATAAGAGGTCACAAAACTGAGAGTAAACCTGGTTGTGTGGGAGGAGTTGGAGGGGATAGAAACTACGTAAATGCAGGATTCACGTATGAAATTCTCAGGAAAAATAAATGCTATAGTAAAAGATATAATTTTTAAAAACATATAATATAGGCCGGGAGAATTGTGAAGAACCATCATAGTTTAGTTATTAATCCAAATTCTTTCAGTCATCCATTGGTGTCTGTGAAGATGATTGGTAAAATACCAAAATTCTTCCACATGCAACAAAATAAAAACCATATCTCTAGGAACGTCTTTAAATACCATGAACAGTAAATGTTTACTATGAAAGACACAGATAATTGGAAAGATACATATTTCTTTAAAATGAATTGTTTTATATACAGCTGAGGTTTGCAACCTGAAGTTATATGAATCCAATGGTTAGTAAAATGATTATAGAGTGAACCAAATTAACACATTTACCCTCTTCCATAGTAACGTTAGTGTTTAACAAGAGTAGGTAAAATGTACTTACTAAAATTATTATTGCAATAAAATTCTTCTACAGTAATTCTTACATTGCACATTATATTCTTAAATTTGTTGATCTTGCAAATCTACATCTCATCTATTTTCCATATTTTCCATGAATATTTTGACACCAAAAAAGTAACAAATGAGTGAAAAGTTTTTACATAATAAGGAATGTAATGCTGATCTTCCAAGCTTATTTAACTGAGAAGTCTGCCTTGCAATCTTAAAGCCACTTAAGCATGTTTCAAAACAAAGGCCACTGATTCCTTGAAGTCTCTGTCTGCAGCACTTCTAGGATAGCAGAGCACATGGGTATACCTGAATTTGGTGTGCTGCACAGATTATGAAGGCTTTACTAGCCTTTCCCAAACCCTGGCCAGTGCATCTCTTTGTTTTATCTTTATTTTTCCTTCTGATGATGTATATCGAAATAGCATGCTTAATACCTTAAATAGATACAAGAAAAAAATTGAAAAGTAATACATTAAACAACTATAAGTTTAAAATATTCTAAATCATTTTGAGTGTCTTGCAACATATTTTCTTATGTGCTTTTGATCTCTATATAATAGTTGCACTTGGAAACAAACATTTGCTAAATGCTGTACTCGAAGATCTATGACAAGGACCTGGAGTGGAGCTCCAGCCCCAGTAGCAGGTTTGAGGACAGGCTGCAGGTGTCTGGGGAGCAGTGTGCACTTGCAGCGCAGAAGTAGAAGGCTGTGTCTCCAGGCTGGTGGGCTGCGATGTGCAGGGAGAAGTGTTTGGCTTTCTTATTCAGTAAAACAGTGAGTCTTTTGTTCTGTTTTCTTTCCGAATTTGAACGAATGTCAATAATGAGCTGGGGACCCTTTCCAGGTTCTTGCTTATACCAATGGAAGTAGTCTGAGGCACTGTCTGAATAAGTACAGTTGATCTCACTGCTGTCTCCCTCCCAGACACTCAGGGTGGAAGGAAGCTGCTCCACCTTCTCTCCTCGGCTCACCCCTATGCGGGAAGAAAAAGGTGGTCAGGTCACTACTCTCCAAAATTTTCATTTTCTATAGTAAGCAGAGGAAGCCTGAATGACAGAGTTCTCCATGATGTCTCACAAGTGCCCACTTATCATTCTTTTCCTCCAGAACATTTACTCACAGTCCAGCTGCAGCCACAGGAATGTGAGAAAAGTGGGATCACAAGCCTTCATTGTTCTTCTCAATGAAATTCTGCTGTAGAATGTGATCACTAGCCAGGTGGCTGCTTCTGCCCGGTGCTTCCTCTTTCTCAGTACATGTCTAGTTCTTCAGTTGAACCACCAGTGGGAAGAGCACTGGCTTTTGCCCTAAAATTACACATTCAACCTGCACTGAAATGAATTCTCTGCACTGAGGTCTACTACCACCTTGTGGTACCTCCCTAACCAGTGAGGCCTCTGGTTAAATGTTCTACAAGCTTATGAGAGACTCAACACATAAAATAATGATAGGTCAAATAAAGTAGGTCTAGGTCAGAGGGTAAGTGCAGGCTAAGCACATATAGGTTGGTGTTTTTTTTTACGTACTATTGAGTCATTACTAGTTAACTTGAAAGAGGAGGATGTTTCCAGTGTTTACACAACAGTGTGATGAGTTTGCATGTAGAAATCAAAGAAGCACCAGGATTCACTCAGAAACAAAGGAACATTTCTTCCTTTCAGCCACGCCCACACTAAAGATTTGATTGTTGCAGAAAATAAAATCTTCTTAAATACAAAATACAAGCTAAATATCAGAGTAAGCAATGTGAGACTACTGAATGTCTGAAATATAACACATTATTCATGGCATATATATGAATGATCTTGGAAACAACGACAATATCTGAAATGTCAGACTCTTATCCTCCAGGTGTGGTTTTGTCCATGAACTGCCCATTCCCAGAGAGTGGACGGTACCAACAGCCAAACTGCAAGATGCTGGTAAACAGTATGACCGCATCCCAACAGAGGGACCAACAGAATATGTTCTTGAATTTTTAATAATTCAACTTTGGAGACAAGCATAATTGGGTCTATATCACAGTAACTATGACACATTTAAGAAATATTTTCCTTTCTAGATGAATTAAGTTCCATTGTGTGTATCATGTAATTGTCATTGTTCATTCATCAGCCAAACATGTATTTCCTAGATATTTTGAATGGTGCAGCACTAAACATGGAAGTGTGTCTTGGTGGTAAAACACAGGAGTGATATGAAAAATGAAATCATTACATTTACAGGGAAATGAGCAGAACTGGTCATTTTATATTAAACAAAGTAACCCAGAGTCATAAAGACAAATACTGCATTTCCTCCAAAGGCAGATCTCAGATTTTAATTCCTATATATGTGTATAGATGTGTGTATTTTTGTGAATATAGGCCACAAAACTAGAAAGGGAACCATGAAAGGGGAAAGAAGTTTTAAGGGCCAGGGCAGGGGAACATGGTAAGAGAATTTATGTGATGATAAAGGAGAATCCTGGATTCTAAGAGGAAGGAGACCAGCAAGGAGCGGGCTAAGAGGACAGTGGAGGGGGATGGAGGAGATGAACTACAAAACAAAGAGAACTTGAAAGTAACAAAATAAAACGTGGTGCTTTGTATACTAATTTTAAACACTAGTAAAAGATAATAGAGGTGGTGGGTGACTATATGGAAGAAGTGTTTCCAGACAGCAGGGCTGTTGCACATATGAACTCACAGCAATTGTGACACCTGAACAAGATGTATGTGAGCTCAAGCCAGGCACAATACCAGTATGGGGTAGGGAGGCGGGTAAGAATCCTCAACCTTACTTAAGGAAGTGGTGGCCATTCATAGCTACTGGGAGAGGGAGAGTTGATTCTCTTTAAGAGTGTGATGCTGGGTAGTTTGACCAGACCACTGAGGATGGACTCATACTCAAGAGCATTTGGGCCAAAAAGACTTGATTGGCCTTAAGAAATAATAAAAGTACATGAAGTTAAGTGTCAATAAGGTAAGGGTTGAGATCGTAGAGTCTGAATAACATCAAAATTCATTGTATGAGTTTCTCAAAGAATCAGTAAAAAATTATATATATATA